CCATCGCGAACTTGAGAAAGCCTTTTTCACCGAATAGGTTATTCATCCCCTATTTTTACTATCATTTGAGCCCTTGTTGAATCTATTACTTTTAACCCCTTGGGCCCTGATTCGTGCAGTTCAAGAAGAAGAACGACTTGCTGAGAGGGGAGCTTCGGACAAGGGATGCTAAAATCTCCGAACATAGTCGGCATGTAAGTGAGGTGGCTTCTGAAAGGGAAAACCTTAGGAGGAGAGTTACCTCGATTGAGCGTCAGCTCCAAGATGCGAAAGAGTACAGTGGCATGTATAAGAGCCTTGATTTCGAGCTGGTGGCTGCACTGCTTCGGATCAAAATTGAGGCCGAGGCGCTTGTATCTTTGCATGGGGGAGGAGTGATCGCCACAGATTCTTGTATTGAGAGGACATTTGAGGGGGCTGACCCAACTTTAACTTGAGTTACGGATCGTGCTGGATGGACTTCAGAAGGCTGACTATCGAGGGCGCATTGGAAGGTGGCTCGAGCGTTGTTAAAAATGGGGGTGTATCCCCGGAGAGAGGGGACGCCGTCGAGAAGGGGCTATCAAGGGATTCGTAATCGCCTGGATACAACCTTCAAGGCTAGCGGTTCGGCAATAGATTTAGGATTTGTTGTTTTTCCTATTGATCTCCCTATTTGTATATGGTACTTTTATTTTTGCATATGTATAAGGAGAAATCATATGGCTTTGTTCCCCTTATCCTCTTTCTACTCTGGATTCAGCAAGGATTGGCGAAAGAACTTTGGACCCGGAATATAGCGCTATGTGTTGTTTAGGCTGGCTCAGGAATCGTCGTGCGACTGGTCGACATGGCCTCTGATGTGAATTGCCGTGGGGGGTCTTTTGGTTTTACCCAGCTGTTTTGTATTGAGTCTCCGGGTCGGGTATGTCTTGAGCCTTATTGATTTCTGCCCTCCTACACGGTCGAGCGATGATAGTTCTTATCCTTTACCCTTGGGCATTCACTATTTTAACTATTTTGGGTCCAGTCTCCGAGTCGCGTTGCGCCTCGAGCTTTAATTAACCATTAAGTTCTTTAATGCCTATGTTGGCGGACGATGGTGGCCTTTGTTTCTCTCCCTCGGGCGTTTGTCGTTCCAACTATTTTGGGTCCAGTCTTTGAGTCACATTGCGACACGAGCTTCAGTTGACCCTCAAGTTTTCTTGATTTTTTAGCCAGCAACAATGGTTCTTACACTGTTTAAGACCTTTTAATATGTTGCCTGGAGGCTTGTGCAGTTAACTATTTTGGATTGGGTCTCTGAATCAGGTTACAACTCGAGCTTATTTTAATCCTTAAGTTGTCAATTTTCAAGCTGGCGACAATAGCACTTACTCTGTTTGGTCGTTGAGACCTTTTAGTGTTTGGACCGTAGGATCGTTTTGCGGGCAACAATGGCTCTTACGCTGTTTTGCCCATGGGTTTTTTGTAGGCTTTATTTTCCACTCGTTAAGGTCATTTGAAATAATTTTGCCTGAACCGTCGTCGGTTCCAAAAGCACCTCAATTTCAAGTCATTATCGGCGATATTTGAGCACCTCGAAAGGTTTTTAGCTCATAGGTCGAGTAGATCGATTGCTTGTGATTTGGAGTTGATATGGTCAAAGGTCATTTTTGCCTGTTGAGAGAAACTTGTTTTAACCGGTTCTTTCTGAAGTATATTCGAAGTAGTGGCCTACAATTTTGTTTAGCGACGGTCGGGGGTCCCCGAGTCACGTTATTTTGGTTGTATCAGCCATTTTGACCGTAGTCATATGTGTTTAGCCAGAGCCGTTTTTGATCCCGAGTGATTGTTTAGGCGTCTACACCGAGGGTATGCCCTTTAGGGATTCTTACAAATGCGACGTATAGCCTAAACTTCGGGATTTTCATGCCTGTTGAGGTCTTACAGTTTGTCATTCCTGTCGAGGTCTTACAGTTTGTCATGCCTGTTGAGGTCTTATAGTTTTTAATGCTTTGTAAAATTGATCTGGTTACACCGAGCCTGCCCGCTTGGGGTCTTATAGTTTCGGGTATTCCAGTTTATGGCGATTTGGCTACAGTCTTCGAGTCATCGAGTTTGCTTAGCCTCAAAGGCCATTACTAGTGAGCTTGGAGTTGCCTTGCTGGAGTTTTATGAGTTCGTAGTTCTGACCCTGGGGTCGTGTGGGCGCCGAGTTGAACATTTTATTAACTAGGCGCTGGTATGTTGCTCTCGCAGTTTTTAGCCCGAATGGCATTACGTTATAGCCATATGTAACATATTTTGTGATGAATGAGGTCTTTTACCTATCCTCGGGGTCCATCTGGATTTGATTGTACCTCGAGTAGGCATCGAGGAAAGTGAGGGTCTCGTGGTCGGCCGTAGCATCAATCAGACAATTGATATTAGGCAGCGGGAAGGAATCTTTGGGGCATGCTTTATTCAAATCTTTATAATCTATGCACATCCTTAGCTTGTTCCCCCTTTTTGGCACTACCACTATGTTAGCTAGCCATTGGGGATACTATACCTCCCTAATGGATCCGATTTTAAGAAGTTCTGCTACCTCCTCTTTGATGAAGGCATATTTTACCTCGGTCTGCGATCTCCTCTTTTGCTTCATGGGTTTGAATTTGGGATCGACGCTTAGCCTATGGGAGGTTATTTCCGGTTGGATACCTATCATATCTAGGTGGGACCAGGCAAAACAGTCGATGTTGTTACTAAGAAATTGAATAAACCCTGTCTTAAGTTCGGGGGTCAGCCCCATTCCCAGGTATACATTACGATCCGGGAGGTTCCCGATCAAAATGGCCTGCTCCAGCTCTTCGACTGTTGACTTGGTTGCATCCGATTCCTCAAGGGCGATGAAAGTTTGGGGGACGAAGAAATCTTCCTCGTTGTTTCTGAGGGTCTGCACTCTCTCCTCGTCTCGTGGTGGACTGCAAACATTTCCCTCGCTGCCCGTTGTTCTCCATGTATGGTCGTGATGCCATCCTTTGTGGGAAACCTTGTCACCTGGTGCAAGGTCGAGGGCACTACCTTATGTTATGTATCCAAGGCCTGTCAAGTAAGGCGTTTTATCTCATGTCACCATCGATGACCTAAAACACGGTGTTCTAGGTTGTGCCAGATGTCTTGATCGGGAGGGTGATCTCTCCTTTCATTTCTTCTCCGATCATGTTGAAGTAGTGGAGGAATCGAGGGATGGTAACAACTTGATTGATCAGCCTCAGCTGTTCTACTACTTCTGACCCGATTATGTTGGTTGAAAGTCTTGCATCCACGAGCACACACTTTATCCTGGTGCTATTTAAGAGAAACGACATCACTAGCGCATCCTTGTGTGGTTCCATCATGGCCTTGAGATCCTCTTCGCTGAATATGAGGGTTACTTCGAGTAAACATTTTCGAGTTGGTCCTTCTTCTGTAGCGGTTGTTTTCGTTCGTTTGGACACGGGTCTTTGGAGATCGTTGGTTCCCCCAATAATCATGTGGACACTATGTTGGGGATCCTCCATTCCACTCAGGTTGAACTCGGTGGTGTACCAGACTCTAGGTTGGTCGTGCCCCCTTCTCTGTCACTTTTGATGTTCCGACTTCCCATTTCACTAGCCGAGCCAAGCGCTCTACCCTGAAAGAGAAGATCTTGGGCAAGAAAAAGTGTGAAAGATAACTTGCGTTTTTGCAATGAAACCAACAAGAAAATAATCACTATTATTTTTAGCCCCATGGTGGGCTCCAAACTGTTTACCTTGAAAATGGTAACAACAACTAAATTTATAAATGGGATTTTAAAAATACATGATCTGTTCTCGAGCTAGTTGTTAGAGCTGTTGATACTAAGAATGTGAAGTTTAACGATGAACTGCAAGCTAAAACGAGGCAGTAATCAAACCGAGGGGCCTGTTACCCGGATGCAAGACTTGTCAATGGGGGAACTCGGGGTCGAGTTCAGGTCGAGCTTGAACTATCGGGGGTAGCCGGGAATGGGGTAACAACTAAGGATACGATTAAACAAGGCTCTTTACCGCCAATATTAAGCAATATGGTGAAGAACAAATAAGAGAGCGATAGATAGTAAAGTGACCTCGGGCCAGTGAGAACGAGCATATTAGAAAGAAAAGAGAGAGAGAGAGAGATATTATTGCACTTGTAGAGAAAATGAGCAACATCAATCATGCTTACAAAGTGATGGGGATCCCTTTTATATAGGAGGGGAATCCATTATAATACAAAATGTGTTAATCGTGAAGGTACGGGGATATGATGGCTTTATGTGACATCTTGAAAATAGGCCCCGGATAGGAAGGCCTTATCAGGTTAAGCCGCGTGTCTTGGGAACTCCCCCCTCGCCCATTGCAGCCCGTTGTATTAGTCAGAATACAATATCCTTCGAATCGACTCTTGACGAACTCCGAGGATGAGTCTCGACCTTAGCTTCGAGCTTCGAGGGCTATGACCGCGAAATGGACCTATGACGGGGAACTCGGGCCCCAATATTTGCCGTATAGAAGTCTGCATACCATTTTTATTTGGTACTCATAGGATTGGATAGTGTTCAGCCCTATGCTCCACTTCGGCTAATGCGTCAATTTGCACGACAACAAGAGGTGCCCCCAACCCCGGATATGATCAAGTTCTGTTATAATTTTTGTAAAGATCAACCTCATGACAAAGAGAAAATTATGAAAATTTGGTATGCAAGTCTCGAAGTTGAATAAGATGGTAGAAGACCGAGATCATAGGGGAACAACACCTAGAATCAGCAGCAGGGTTATCATCCTCCTCACCAGCAACATAGTGGGAGATAGGAAGATGGGTTTGCTAGACTCGAGGCAGTGATGCAACAAGTTATTGGGTCGAATGCAAGAATGAGTGAAATAGTAGATGACACGAGTCAGTCACAAAGAATATTGAAGTGCAAATGGGTCAGATTTCGATGTCATTGAATAATCGTCCTCATAGGACATTGCCTGCAGACACTTAGGTAAAACGATCAGAGCCCAAAGCAGCTGATGGAAGTGAGTCTACGTAATGGCATAGTCTTAGACTTAGAGAAAGATAGGGCTCAAGAAAGCAGACCAGTTGAGACACTTGTTCTAGTGCCCATTGAACTAGATGATTCAATAAGACTGACTGAGGTGACAGTGCAGCCTGCCCGGGAAGAAACCAACACACAGATTGAGGCTGAGAAAGAAGGTGAGATGACCCAGGAACCAGTAGTAGAGGTAGTAGATGACAAAGAAAAAGCCCAAATCACTAGGAAGAAGAGATCTCCAGCACCATTCCCATAGAGGTTGGCCAAGTACCAAAAAGATGAGCTATACAAGAAGTTCTTGGAAATGTTGAAACAAATTCAGGTAAATATTCCTTTGATTAATGCTTTAAAAGAGATGCCTGGTTATGCAAAAATGATGAAGGACTTGATGTCCCGAATATTCGACTTCCAAGACTTGGCCACAGTAATTCTAACTCAAACTTACAGTGTTGTTGTAACTAGACCAGTTGCTAAAACGTTGTCTGATCTAGGGAGTTTCACAATTCCCTGCACCATAGGGGACTTTGCCTTTACCAAGGCACTCTGTGATTTGGGGGGCAACATTAATATTATTCCCCTGGCTATCTATAAGAGGTGGGGGTTGGAAGAGCTAGACCGATGTCTACGTTGTTGCAGCTGGCCGACAGAACTGTGAAAAAGCCCTCAGGTATTCTCGATGACGTGTTGGTGTAGGTAGGGAAATTTGTGTTCCCTGCAGATTTTGTGATTCTGGATTGTAGAGTAGATGAAGAAATTCTCATAATTTTAGGAAGTGCATTCTTGGCCACGAGGCGAGCTCTCATTGATTGTGAAACTGGAGAGCTCAAGATGAGGTTGAATGATAAGGAGATAACATTCAACGTGCACAAATCTATGAGGCGACCAAGTGAATTAGCCAATTGTTTCTTAATTGATGTCGTGGATGTAATCCTGGAAGAGGATGATGAGACCCTGATTATTGAGGATCCTCTAGCTACATTTCTCATGAATTTAGATGAGGTGAATGGGGAAGAATTGGCGGAGTGGGTGCTGGCTCTTGAGGGCAAAGGCTATTGGAAGAGATCAATTGAATTTGAGCCCCTACATTTAGAAAAAAGAGAAACTCCTCCAACCAAGCCATCCATACAAGAACCACCAAAGCTAGAGTTGAAGCCACTTCCCGCCCATCTCAGGTATGTCTTCTTAGGACCTAACTCCACATTACTATTATTATCTTATCTAGTTTGATAGATGTGCAGGCACAACAACTTTTGCAGGTACTCACGGAGTGCAAGACTGCCATTGGGTAGACCATGGTAGACATTAAAAGGATCAGTCTGGCATATTGCATGCATAAAATTCTCCTGGAAGAGGGGCACAAGCCTTCCAGGGAACACCAAAGAAGGCTGAACCCCAATATGAAGGAAGTGGTGAAGAATGAGATTATTATGTGGTTAGATGCGTGAATCATTTTCCACATCTCTGACAGCAACTAGGTTAGCCCGGTGCAATATGTTCCTAAGAAGGGTGATATAACGGTGGTGAAAAATGATAACAATGAGCTGATCTCTACACGAATCATCACAAGCTAGTGAATTTGCAAGGATTATAGGAAATTAAACCTGGCCAACCAGAAAGACCACTTCCTACATCCTTTTATTGATCAGATGCTTGACAGACTTGCAAGGAGGTCCCACTTCTGTTTTCTGGACGGGTACTCGGGGTACAATAAGATCTCCATTGCACCAGAGGATAGAGAAAAGACCTCACTCACATGTCCATATGGGATTTTTGCCTTCTGGAGGATGCCCTTTGGCCTATGCAATGCACCTGCCACATTCCAAAGGTGCATGATGGTAATATTCACCGACATGGTAGAAGACATAATGGAGGTGTTCATGGATGATTTCTCAGTGGTGGGAAACTCATTCGATAATTGCTTTAATTATCTGACCAGAGTGTTGAAAAGGTATATCGAGACTAACCTTGTACTCAATTGGGAAAAGTGCCATTTCATAGTCCAAGAGGGTATAGTCTTGGGACACCTGGTATCAAGCAAGTTAAGGGAGGTGGATCGTGCAAAAGTTGATGTGATAGCAAAGCTTCCACCGCCCACATCATTCAAAATAATCAGGATATTTCTCGGGAATGGCGGTTTCTACTGGAGATTAATCAAAAACTTCTCAAAAATTGCCAACCCTCAGTGTAAGTTGTTAGAAAAAGATCATCCTTTCGTGTTTTCTGATGATTGCAGGGTAACATTCGAGGAGTTGAAGATGAGGCTAGTCATAGCACCCATCATTGTTTCCCCCAACTGGGAGAAACCATTTGAACTCATATGTGACGCCAGTGACTATGTAGTGGGAGCAGTGCTAGGATAGTGTAAAGACAAGATAATGCACCCAATTTACTATGCAAGTAAAATGTCGAGTGGAGCCCAACTGAACTACACTATGATTAAAAGTAGATGCTGGCTGTAGTATTCGCATTCGACAAGTTTAGATCATACCTGATTGGGTCTAAGGTAATTGTATATACTGATAATGCTGCCCTCAGGTACCTGATTAGAAAGTAAGAGTCCAAACCGTGCTTGATTCGCCGGGTGCTGCTACTGCAAGAGTTCGACCTGGAGATTTGTGACCGTAAGGGCACAGAAAACCAAGTCGCTAATCATTTATCGCGACTAGAATGAGCTGAAAACTCAATTGAGGCAGAGGATATTCTAGAAACCTTTCCAGACGAGCAGATACTCGCCACAAGCCTTGAGGAAGTGCCATGGTATACAAACATTGCAAATTACCTGGCAAGCAGTATAGTTCCCTATGACCTTTCCTCTGTGTAAAAGAAATTTTTTTACCGTGACTACCGCATGTATTACTGGGATGAACCATATCTATTTAGAATTTTTGTTGACAATATGATCCGGAGGTGTGTCCCCGAGATAGAAAAATCTTATGTTTTGCAGGCATGTCACGCATCGGCATATGGCGGGCATTTTGGAGGAGTCAGGACGGCAACAAAAGTTCTAGAAGTAGGGTTCTACTAGCCAACTGTGTTTAAGGATGCACATCAAAGGGTGAAAGGGCTGTGATGAATGTCTGCACACCGGGAACATCTTCCGGTGCCATGAGATGCCCATGAACCCAATTCAAGATGTTGAAGTGTTTGATGCATGAGGGATAAATTTCATGGTCCCCTTAATTAGCTCCTATGGCAATAAGTACATAACTATTGTCGTAGATTATGTGTCCAAATGGGTGGAAGCTACAACACTCACCACCAATGATGCAAGGGTGGTGGTAGGGGTTTTTGAAGAAGAATATATTCACCCATTTCGAGATCCCGATAGCCATTATCAGTGATGGAGGCATTCACTTCTACAATCGAGCCTTCGAGAAATTGCTAGCAAAGTATGATGTGCACCACAAGGTGGCAACCCCATGCCATCCACAGATCAGTGGTCAGGTTGAAGTGTCTAATGGAGAGATAAAGAGTGTGTTGACCAAAACTGTGAATGCCACAAAAACTGATTGGGCGAAAAAATTAGATGACACACTTTGGGCCTATAGAACAGCTTTCAAAACACCAATTTGTATGTCACCATACAAGTTGGTGTTCCGGATAGCTTATTACTTGCCAGTGGAGCTAGAACATAGATCTTGGTGGGAATTGAAATAGCTAAATATGGACATTGAGGCTGCGGGAACAAATAGAGTCACAGAATTGCATGAGCTAGATGAGTTATGATATCTTGCTTTCGAGAGCACACAGTTATACAAGAAGATAATGAAGAGGTTGCACGATAAGAAAATTGTTAAGCGAAATTTCAAACCCGGAGACATGGTGTTGCTTTATAACGCAAGATTAAGGCTATTTCCGAGTAAACTCATGTCCCGATGGTCTGGGCCATTTCGGGTGGTCGAAGTGCTCCATTCAGGTATCATAGAGATTGCCTCAGAAAAAAACTCCCACACATTTAGTGTCAATGTGCATAGTTTGAAAACCATATGTGGAAATGTATTAAACCAAGGAAGTGTCAGTGATCTATCTGACTGAACCTCAGAGGTCGAGCGAGCCTTCAATGTGCTCATCTGCGTCGTGCCGCGACATTAAATCAGGTGCTGCGTGGGAGGCAACCCATATTTTCTTTTGTTTCTCTTATTGTTTTGATATTGTACTTGATGTATATGAAACAAATTATCTTTTTGTTTTGATCTTGTACTTGATGTACATGAAACTAACCCCTTTATTAGTGTACAAGGTACGATTGGCGCATATTGGGAGAAGTTGGGATCAAGAACCAACCCTGGAAAGGTAAATATTTCTCGGAATCCTGTGACCACGTCCATGGTGGGACCGCGGCCCGGGCGTGGCAAATTACCTTATTCTGTTTCTGGGTCACTGCGACAGCGGTCGGTATGCGAGCCGGGCATGGTAAATTAAAAATTTCTGCTACTCAGGTAAGTTCTAATTCATTTTTGTCTTCCTTCCTTTTCTCTTCAACATTAACCCCCCCCCCCCC